AATGGCTAGCTTACTACTAGAAAGGAGGAAAAGACTATACACATTCACATGTTCCTTCTGTAAAAGCACAATAATGAGTTTAAGCCAGTTAACAGACTTATTAATATTATAACTCATTGTTTAATGTATAGTAGACAGTATGATGATTAAACAAATTATAAAATATTACAGGCCAAGAAGTAAGAGTTTTACTTTAAGCAAAATACAAAGTACAATACCACTTACGCTCATACTACTTCAAACATTAACAGTTTCAGAAATATTTACATTGTGAGATATTTTATAATGTAACATATAGTTTTTTTCAATATCAGTATATGCATATTTATAATGGAATAACTTTTTAATATTATCTCCAAGAGATGAACACCATTATACATTGTTATTTAACATACCATGCATCCATGATGCAAATAGAAATCTTAATCTGTATGTGGCTGCTCTAGTAACTGATAACTGATGTTTTGTTTTCATCATTTCAAACATCCCTCTATACACCATACAATAATTTTTGCTGTGATGATATGTTATAGCAACATAGTTAACTATAAGTTCTCTGGTTCTCAGAACTGACATTTTTTTTTGAGAACTGACATAAAACTTGCTACTTATCTTTGCCTTTTAGACCAGTTGTTTCTTGCAATGATGCTTGAACAAATGTATTGCATCAAGTGCCCACACAGTCAGCAAACATGGAATGAGAAAGTCACACTTTTCTATCTCCACATATCTGATCAGCAACTTCAAGAAATTTCTAAGAATCACAGCTTATAATATTTTCAAATTAGCAGTAGCAGACGTATGCCCCATCAATAATTTATGTCAGAAAAAAATTATCCTTTCATTATATTTTTCATCACCAAGAATCATTTTTGATTGTCAACATTTTATTACGGGGAAGCCTGTAAAGAAGTCTACTGAATCTGGCTTGCTTCACCATGCCACTAACAGACTCCTATAATGAAAATTATTTCAAGCACTTCCAGTTTCTGAAAAACTAAATAAACTGAAAATACTGACCTGACAAAGGTAGCAGCTCCACTACCACACATCCCCTCATTACATTATATTACATTACTGCTCTCATCTATTGGTACATGGCAATACTGATAAGTTGTCATAAAACTAATCGATGCACGAGTTTGAACACCTGAATGCAAGACTGATGATTCAGGATGTAAGAACATATACAGATTCAAGGACAATTAAACTTCATTTTTACAGTTATAAGTTCAATCTCCAAGTTCTGGAATCAAGCTAACAAATTCCTCCTTAGCTTCATCAGCTTGCAGTAAATCATCATCATCTTCTTCTTCTTCTTCAGTTCCATCCTGCAAGAATATAACTATAATCATGATTTTGAACACATTATGATGACTTACACTTTAACCAGTTAATTTTTCCAACCTATCAATTCCCTGACCTCAAGCTTATGTCATTAGACAATCCTTTAAGTTGAAGAAAAACCAATATTTATGCTATAAAGTGTATCCTATGTATATAGTACCATCACCAAGAAACAAGATCTACATTAGTATTAAAATCCCCTGAAAGCCTCACAGTTTACAAGACTGTTTACATTACTGAATGTAGAAGTTACAAATATTACTTTTAAGCATTAAATTGCAAAATAAATTTCCCACTTCATCCACAATGTAAACAATCTACAGCAAAATTTGTTACTCATCCTACAAAGAATGTGAAAACTACAATTTCTATATGCAGAATATGCAAGGCAGAGCAATAAATTCCAAATTCCTAATGGCATTAATTAGTATGTCTATTTCAGAGACCGTTCTACAAACCTGGACAACAGGGCTGGTTGATTTGTA